TTATATACCTACTATTATATAGATGTCACACCTGTGACAGGTAAAACATGTTTTTTAAAAAAAACAGCACCATCTGTTGGACGTAAAAGCAATACATGCTACGATTTTACGATTCCATTTCAATGTTTCCGATTTACGATCCATTTACGATTTCCAAATTTCCAATTTTACGATTCCATTTCAATGTTTCCGATTGCATTGTTAAATTAAATTTTCATAGATATTACAAACGTGCGCTTTCTCTTTTCTTTCTTTTCCATTTAACCAGACTGAGCCACAGCAACGCGTGGCCGGGTACAGCTAGTCACTAATAAATGTGGTTATCGTTCTTTTGCTATAATCAAACATGTCAATTTGGCATTATTGGTCAATTCTACATCTTTACCAACCATTCCTCCACTGTGGATGTTTCATTTTTGTGCATATAATAGCCTTGCAGCAGTTATCATGTACAACTGGGCTTATGTTTTTGTTTTTTTTTAAACCATGGGGCCCAAAGCTTGCAAAGGCCCTTTCTCTTTACTCAAGAGTAGTACCACTCTTGATAATTTTAGTATCATAAAGAGACAGAAGCCATCTCAGCTGTAGGCCTCCAGCTATGGAAAAACTCTCCCCCCTCCCAGATGCCAGCATAGCAAGTTTTATTCATTCAAATTTTACCCAGGTATTTTACTCATTTGATTTTTGTGCGCTTACTCTGTGGTTTTCCTCTTTTTATCATGGTGGTGTGATTTTCCTGTTTTAATTACTTTATCCTTACCTCATCTGTACAATATGTTGATAACTGAAAGGTTGAGTATTTTAAAGCTGCGATAATAAATAGTAAACCAGCATCAGAAGACAGTCTTTGCTTGAACCTGTAATTCTACAATGCTAAATAAAGAAGCAACCTTGCAGGAAGTCCTGTGCTGGTATGTTTTGATTCCCAGGTGTTCACAGCTTCGTCCAAATGATGCTTTAGGTCTAACCTTGGCAGAATGAGGTTGGATTCAATTAAGCTGATGCAATTTCTTTTCTCTCTCTCTCTCTCTTTTTTTTTGTCTTTCTGAGGATGAGCATCTTCTACTCCTCCAAATGTGGCTGAATTAAAATTCCCCTCATTCTCCCATAAGTCGGGATTCAGTATCACGAGAGCTGCAACATTGCCTAGTTTTGCTGCATTGGGTTCTACTGTGCTACTTATTGTTTTTGGAAGAAACCTTGAGACAAGCAAGCCACACCAATCTCCAAGCAAATCATTAAAAGCTATAATCAAAACAGCTAGATCAGTGGTTCTCAACCTTTTTAATGCCGCGACCCCAACCGGTCGTAAGTCGAGGACTAAACCGGTTGTAAGTCGAGGACTAAACCAGTCGTAAGTCGAGGACTAAACCGGTCGTAAGTCGAGGACTACCCAACCGGTCGTAAGTCGAGGACTTTCCCTGCCCGGGAGCGCCGCGCATGCGTGGTTCCGCCCCCTGCGCCGGCCGAGGCATAGCTGGCAAGCGGCAGAGACGGAGCAGGCCGATCACCAGCTGGCCCAGCCCAAGGGAGGTAAGGCACCCACCGGAAAAGGGGGAAAAATGGCGGACAAAAAAATGGCGGACAAAAAAAATGGCGGACAGCCTTGCTTGGCGACCCCCATGAAATGATCGATCGACCCCAAATGGGGTCCCGACCCACAGGTTGAGAACCACTGAGTTAGATGTTCTAGATTAGGTTTGGCTGAGCTATGCTGATGCTCAACAATTAACTTTATGGGACTAGAAAAAGATACTATAGTTGAATCAAAGGGTTATGTGATGTGCAGTGTGCTGTGCAGTTAAGATGTTGGATCATGAGCAGGTTCTAGTTGACTGTAATCCATGGAAGGTCACTGGGTGATTTTGGGCCAGTCATTCTCTCTAGGCCTAACCTATCTCAGTACTGTTATGGGAAAAAAAGTGGAACAGAGAGGGCTATTGTGCACTACTTTAAACTCCTGAAGCAATTTTTTTAAAAAAAATAAAGCACATTGATAAATGTTCCAGTACTCTAAACAGATTAGCAGTTCAGGAAGTAGCAGTACAATATTTGACTAAACACGTTAATCTTGAAAGCTAAGCGGGACCGGATTTGCCAAACAATTGGATAGGAGACTGCCAGGGAATATCAAGGCTTATGCTGGATTAGAAGTCAAAAGACTTCCTGGAAGACAGTAAAGGCAAATGGATCCATAATGTTGCCAAGAAAGACAGATACCTTGGTGCACTCATCATGCTTTTACCTTTACCTTGAACAGACAGGTAAAATTGACCTGAAACCTTAACCCCAGGTTTCTACTCATTGGAATCAATTGTAATCTGTTAACATTTTCATCAAGGAACTCTCTTCCAATTCATTAGAACATTCTGTGTTTTGGAGCTTTTAAGAATAATACTCATGGGAAAGTACTATGTTATCCTTCTTGCCTCCTTCGCCAGGAACATTCTGACGAAGATATTATTTCTGTGAAATAGTCAAAATGTTAAACTAGCCAGGCTATGGGGTTGTGGACCAGAGTCTCTTAGGTCTGCAGTTCCAAAACAGAGATGGGAGAGAAAGGCAATTGTGATGGCATGTGGAACTTATCAAAGCTTCCTCTCAAATGGGCTTTGATCAAGAAACCTGACTCCCTTCTTTGAGGGGGAGAGAAAGGCTGGCCTGGAGGCCTTTGGGAAGGTTTTCTTGAACTCTTGTTTAATTGTACACCACGTAGTTCATCAGGATTGTTGATGCTAGTCAGACACCCTTCTAGCGGTACTTCAAAAGATTGAGTGATGGCACTGAGGAAATTATACTGCAGAGCAATATGCTGACTGGGTGTTGCTAATTAGAGATAATTTTAATTCACTGTCTTCTCCAAGTGAATTAGTGCATGACAATGAGAAAGCTTTCACTGCTGTTCAAAATTTTTACTTTTTTTAAAAAAGAAAACAATGTGCATCACATAATATGCCAACATTGTGGGGGTCTGAGGATGCTTTCATAAGAAACTAACACCAATAGAATTATGTAGCCTAGTAAAGAGGTTCTTAGATTATGGGAAGACTTTTAAAAGACATTACTCAGTTGCTTCATAGATTAGCACTGGAAGTTATATTCCCCCTCCTTTATTCAAATTCAGATATCAGCCGAAAGGTAAAGGTTGGGGTTTGGATATTTGGTTCCTTCCAACTGACAATTGACATTGCATCAGTGTATTTGCTCCTGTCTGCTGGTTCCTCAAAATTTCAGAGGCTGTTATATTAGAAGTGTAAAGAAAACTTCCTCTTCTTATTCTTTGGGTGACAAAGTGTTAGTTACTAGGGAACTATTGCGTTTAAGCTGCTTTTGCAAGGAGAACTTGTAAGAAAAAGACCCACCTTTACTCCAGTCTTTTAATCTATCTTGTTTCATCTTATATCTCCATTTTGTCATGTCATGTTTAACCAAGCATTCCTGAACTTTGTGTAGTCCAGATACACTAAAATGCATCCCCTATCATTGTTAGCCTGCATGCATATATGTGCAAAAGGAGAGTCCCGTCTAATGAGCGTACAATGGATGTAACAAAGGACATTCTGCAGGTTCCATGTTCAATATATTTTTAAGTGACATATGAAAGATTGAAAAGTAAGATTGAATTTGGAGGCATAAACTTGGGACAAACACCTTAATAATTAGTGCAGGATAAGAGGACCATACTGTGTATCTGTGCAAATAAAAAGGATCTGGGGTGCCTTGATGAATCACAAGTGAACATCAGTTAACAATGAGATGCAACTGCAAAAAAAAGTAAACAGACCTTCATAGACTGCACTAACTGAAATAAGACATCAAGATCAAGAGTGGTGGGACAAGAAACAAAGGGTTTAAATGCCAATGAGGTAAAATTCAATTGGACATTAGGAAAAAAAGCTTTGTTAACTGTTTAACAATGGATGAATAAAACATTCAACAATGCTCAACAAGAGAAACCAATTGCCTTAGGAAGTATTGGACTCTCTTTTGTTAGAGATGTTCCAAATATCTTCTTTTGGGAAAGCTGTCCTAGTGGATTCCTGTGCTAGGCAAAGAATTCAACTATATAGTCTCCCACATCCATTCCAACCTTTACATTCTAGAATTCTAAGAAACAAGAACATAATCCAAAAACATCTAGTTGGAAATAGGTTCCACTGAAAATAATAGGTCTTAATTTCGCTCCAATACAGTATATGAATCTTAATCTCAAAAACCTTATGCAAGTAGAGAAATGGGTGTTGCTATAAGTAGAATAATTTTCTACACTCCATAAAAGTGGCTAAAAAAACCAGAGATAAGTATGGGATACTTGAAATTTGTCAGAATTCCTCCCTGGTTCCAAGCTGTAAGTGAATTATTGAACATCATCTTGTCTCCTACCAGCTCCTTTTTAACATGGGGGAAAAATGGTTGTGTGGGAAGTCCAGAAGAGGGTTGGGAATGGCTGCACGAGGAGGGTCTATAGATAAAAGGTGTCTCAGTCCCTCTGCTATAACTTGAACCCAGGGTGAAATTTTATTTAGCCATTAATGAGCCAAAATTAATTTTTCACAATTATATTATTTTTGTGCTGCTATTTGAAAATAATTTCAGGCAGACATGACAATATTTCTCAGAGGTCAGATGCCTGTAAAATACTGCATTTATCAGACTACTCCAAAGTCAGAATACTCTTGAGCATTACAAAATTTCTGCCCATGAGACTTGTTTGGGACATGAAGATAAAATGAGCATAGTTTACCTGGAATGGACATATGAACACAAAGAGCAATATTAAAAACATTCATCAAAAATATAAAACACAGCTATTACAAATAATTTAAAAGTATTTTTCCCCACCAAATGGTGCAGAATTGCCTATCTCATAAATAGAAAAAAGGAAATAGCAGTTTCCAAACTGAATTTCTTGCTTGGTTAACCAGATTTTGGTTTTTTTAAAGGGTTCTTTGGTTTACAAGTGCTTTTCGGTGAAAGTTCAACTATTCAATTCAGCAGTTTCATTCAATCTGAAGAAATCTAGCAACTTCCATCATCCTTCTTTGCTTTTCTTCATTAATTTCCTGCATCAGCACAATCAAATCACAATCCAAGTTATTAAATCTTGTTTGTATTCCATGGTTATGCTCTAGAACAAGAGAAAAAGAGAGAAAATCAATGGAACAAAAGATAGCAAATATTTCTCAACAAAATAAACAATCATTTTTTCCTCACCAAAATCCAATACATGCCTATTGTATTTCCTTAGTTTCCGAACAGATTGCATATGAGGCTTCCTCCTTAATTTATTTAGGGTTTAAATAAGATGACCTCTTAAAAATAGTATCAGTAAAGCAGCAGTTACTTTTCTGATCAGTTTGCCTCACTTACACAGTGAGTAAGAGCTATTTTCTCAGCATCATGAAGTGGTGGAAACACATTTAGGTTTGATTGGTGACTTTTACTGATCAAATTTGGCCTGCAGCTTAGAGATTCTTGATTGAAGGACTTCCCAATAGCAAAGTACTTTTGAGAGTACTTTTTTCCAATCTGGTATGTTCCATTTGTGTTGGCACTCAAACTGACCAATGCATAAAAACCAATGCTGGGAATTGAGAGGTGGGAGGGGTGGGGGGGTGATGTTATGGCCTTAGGACATCTGGAAGGCATCTGACTGGAGAAGGCAGTACTTGAAATTGTACTTGAAATTGATGAAATTCTGTGGCACACCTGCTGCAAAGTACCTGAATTTCCACAGGCTTCTCAAATGACAGGGCAAGCCACATTCAGAGATACACAAAGGCATAACAAGCTTTCAGCTATAAAGGATCAAAGCATAATAGCCTACTGGGATCTCCAAAAGAACTTTCAACCCTAAGGATGATGTTTCACAATGTTCCATTAGTCTTTAATAAGCACCTTAGAACTGAATAAATGTATTTTAGAAATAAGTGTTAGGTTCTCTGTGAAACCTTATCACTTTACACTTATATCCCCTAAGAAGTCTTGCTCAAGGAGTCTATAATGTTGCTTAAATGTTAGCAGTTGGAAGATCTTTCTGCCTTTGTGCACTTCCATTTTAATTGCATTATATTTTAATAAAATCAAGAAAAATGCTAAGCCAGAAGTATATACCGTAAGTAGCATTAATGGGGGATTTAAAAATTACCTTGAATCCCCTATTACAATGATACCAGCTCATTCTTCCTTAGTAGTTACAGTTACAATTACTGATATAGTTTGTATCAATGAATCCCCCACTAGCATGATTGATTGGTTATGAGGTTAATCTGTTGTTGATTTAAGGCTGGTATATCTGCTGCATTTCTGGCTGCTTCTGTAGATCACTGCCTCCTAGCAAAGTTGCTAATTGCAACATTGGTGACTTCATCCTGCAGTTCCATATGCAGTCCTAGAACTAGATGCTGTATGTGTTGCCCATTGCTCTAGTTACTCTAAGAGACAGAAAGAGAACACATATCATGAAGAAGCCAGAACTAGTTCAATGGTTGCTTGTAGTCAATTTCCATCCTGCTTCCCTTGTATTAGCAAAGCATTTCCTCTCCAGGTGACCTTTAAATTTGTTAAAACTAAGGCTGTGCACCCATTACAACTGCTTAAAGCAGCATTTTTTCCTGCAAACATGCAGCCTTGGTAGGAACAGTGCAAATCTGGGGAAAGATGTATTTGGTTTAGAAAGTTGCTAATATCAACTCCAAAGCATCGTTTTATTTTGTTTTCAGATCTGAAGCCCTCACTATAACGACTGGGAATTTTAAACACAGTAATCTTGAAAAATTGGAAGTACATGTATATAACACTATATTTGCACATTTCCATGTTTGTCAGAACACGGCTTGCACATGGTAAAAATGCTACTTTCAAAAGGGAAGAAGACAGAAGTGATTACAATAGCGGGCTATAAGGCTGCACTCACAAGATCGTTTTTAAAAAAAACAGCAGGAAGAAGGTTAAGAGTAATTCTTCCCATTAAAAAAACACAAATAGGTGATTCTGCAGCTTGGGTCCTCAATGTTAAGCTAAGTTTGCCCATCATACTAAACCATGGTTTACAAATGTCAATGGTGAAGTAAAACCAAACGTGTTAATTAAATCAATCTGAAATTCTATCTCTCCCTGCCCTCCAATAATTTGCTTTTTAAGTGGATTTATCATCTTACATTTGCAGAAAAGACAAATGTTTTCTCTTAGTTTCCTCTTTGAAGGACAGCAGTCTAAAATTCAGAGTCATCTTGCTCACAGATAAATTATTGTGCATCTCAGCTGAGGTGTGAACCAGACCAGCTTTAACTCCTTATGTAAAAACAGCCACTGCGATTTGTTAACCATGATTTACCTAGCATGTTGTTCTACACTCTGTACAAAGAATAGCCCAATTCGGAACTTGCAACAAATATTTAAAAGAAGGATTATTTTTTTGCCTCACCTGTTTCTCCTAGGTATTACACATAATTTGGATGTAAAAGAAACTAATTTGATGTTGTACTGTTTAACTGCTGCCCGTTTGTTGATAGCTCAAAATTGGAAGAGTAAAATTTTACCTACAATGGAAGATTGGAGATTGAAAGTTTCGCACCTNGCTTGTTCTGGAAGTCGATCAGCGCCATGGTGATGGAGGCGTTCCAGCAGCTCTCGCCCGGGCACCGAAAGTCGATCTCCTTGCGGTCCGTGGTGACGATGGTGAAGTAGACGTACTTGCCGGTGCGCTCCACGCAGTCCACCTTCTGGATGGAGCCGAAGCGCAGCTCCTTGGCGCGGGCCCTGCCGCCGCCGCCGCCCTCGGACGAGAAGAGGCTCAGGCTCTCCTTGCTCAGCACCACCTGCTTCTTCTTCCAGAGCTGGAAGAGGCTGTCGCTGCGCTTCTCCAGCTCGCCCTCGCGGATCACCTCCGACGCCGGCCCGCCCGACGGCCCTTTCATTCTGCCCCGCGCCCGCCGCCCGCTCTCGCCGCTCCTGCCGCCGCCGCCGCACCACTCCGGCCGCGCCACGCGAGAACGACGCCGGCTCGCCCGCTCTGTTGTGTCGGGTGCCGGTGCTGCGCGTCGTGCTTATTGCGCGAAGAGCTCCGTTTACGGTCTCGGTCGGCGTCTCCGCCTTGTCTTCAGCCTCTCCGCCCACGCGGTCGCCCGATTCCCTGGTGGCAGACGGGGCTCCTCCCTCCGACCGCGTCCTTTAACCCACGCTACGGATGGCGCCCCCTTGGGGAGATTTGGCCCGGCGAGGCGGCGGGTTAAAAAAAAGGGAAAGGAAAGGCCCTGTGAGATTTGCGACGATGGGCGCTAAAAGGAGGGACGAAAATTTGAGGGAAAGATCGAATGTGAATTTCCGATTTTTTTCCCCACGAGTACGGACAACTGCCCTACTCCCTGGCAACCAAATACACGAGCTACATTTATACTCAAGAGTCTTCCTTTCGAGGCGAAGTGAATCAAGTTACTTTTGCAGGTGCTGAAGTTATTATGGCGGCGCATTCATGCGTGCAAGAAACCTTCAGTGCAATTACCAAAGATTCCGGAGTTCAGAATGCAAGATGGGAAGAGCTTTATCTTGTTATTTTTATTAATGAAGTATATAACAAAGAAGCGAGGTTAAAGTCACACTACAACAAAAAGTTCAGAGAAGAGCAACTAACATGATCAAAGGCCTGGAGACTAAAACATATGAAGAACGGCTGCAGCACTTGGGTTTGGCTAGTCTAAAGAAAAGAAGAAATAGGGGTGACATGATAGCAGTATATGAGTATTTGAGAGGCTGCCATAAAGAAGAGGGTGTCAAACTATTCTCCAAAGCACCAAAGGGCGAGACAAGAAACAATGGTTGGAAACTGATCAAAGAGAGAAGCAACCTGGAATTAAGGAGAAATTTCCTAACAGTGATGACAATTAACCAGTGGAACAGCTTGCCTCCAGAAATCGTGGGCGCTCCATCACTGGAGATGTTTAAGAAGAGGCTAGACAGTCACTTGTCTGAGATGGTATAGGTTCTCCTGCTTAAGCAGGGGGCTGGACTAGAAGACCTCCAAGGTCCCTTCCAGATTCTAGTCTAGTCTAGTCTAGTCTAAAATTAACAATGGTCCAGGCCGCCAGAAGAGAAAGAACCAGAACTTTGTATCTCCCTCGACACCCAAAGTGGTAAAAGGAAGTAAAGAAGAAGAGGTGTAACAAACATAATAGATTAGTGATTGGGATGTAGGAAAGAAAGTGGATTGTAATGGGATACCCAGCCCCTGATTTATGCATAGTTCTTGGTTGATACAGAGTGAACTTAGCTGGTCTTGGAGATCTGAGCACGGTGAGCCTTGTGGGACAGGACTTGATCTGCAAAAGCCTGAGATACTGCAGTTGCCTGTGTTAGACAAGGGTGATGTGAACCCAAGTGAAGAGTTCCTTCTTGCATTACACCATAATCCAGAAATCCAACTCACTCCCCAGCAAGAAAGGTCATTAGTTAGGTAAAATGAGCATTATTGTCCATGTGTGGAAGCATACATTGTCCATTCACAAAAATGTTAACATATGTTTAGGCATATATGTATAAATACAAATGTTATATTTATTTGAAAACCCCAGTACTTGGAATTCCATTAAGTTGCAGACAGTAATAAGAAACGAAATAAGCAATAGCAGATTACAAAATAATGACAAAACAGCAGAAGTTTGTCAACTGCTAGAAACAAATAAAACAAGCATTAAGACAAAAACCACACAGGAAAAATGAATTCACTAGGTGATATAATTTCCAGGGGGATAGCTTAGCTGCATTGGTCACAAATGCTAGATATACTTGAGAGGTAGCAAATATTTCCATTCTGTTTGAATCCTATATGAAAATGAACATCCTCCATGTCACTCACATGAGGATATCACTTTTGAATCATCTGTGGATATAATTCATTTCAATTTTTAAAATAGTTTCTCAGATTAATGAATGGCTGTTCCAAGAGACTAAGCATCTGGAGGGCAGCAAATCAGGAATACAAGCCCTTGTATTTTGAGGGGCCCTTAATCCCAACAAAGCTTTAATATACAAAACTTAAATTCCATGTCCCTCCATGTCTTTTAATGAAGTATTTCCATCAGGTTTAAACCTTCTGAGCCTATTGCAGTCATTGCCCATGTTGTCTGTAGATGATGGGACCCGTGTCAATGTTCCTGGGATAGAAGCCATTTCTTTTCTCTAGGAAACCTGAAGCGCCTATAATTTGTTGCTTAGTAATGTTAACCAAATCACGCCTCCTTTTTTCCTCTGAGGATACCTTGGGCCAATTCTGTAAGAGAGATGATATCACCCTCTTAATGCAAATTTGAATTCGCTCAAAGCATGTTCTAGATGTTACCTTGATGAAATACAAATATTAGGTAAAATGTAAACTGGTGCTTCCTACTTGGGCTGAGTCACAATGGCGGTGTTCACATAATATGCTAAGCATTGCTTAGAAGGCAAAAGACTCTATTCAGACAGACATTTCTTTGGCAGGCTTAGAAAAGTGGTTTATTCTTGCCAGCGTGTGGGATGTTTTTCCAACTTTCCAGTCTAGCCAGTAATCCTGGAATTCCCAGCTGATCTGACTTTCCTTCCAATGACTGATCTAATTTCATCTTGCTTAGCTTCTGAAACCAGCCAAAGTTGACCACTTATCGATTCTGGTGCTACTAACCCATGCTTCACTGAAAAAATATATATACACTATTGACTTGATTCATATTATATATACTAAATTATAAATTAGAATTACAGAGGCTGAATATGATGGGTGAAACCAGCCAGTGTGGTTTGTGGAATTGGTGTTCGTACATTATATGAACGTATCCATGGTGGTTTGTGAATTGTGGTTTGTGACTTTGGACAAATATCTGCATTCCATTCATTTTTAAAATATTTCAACTATTGTCTTGAATTGGGCCCGGTGCCCTTTTCTATGAGGGCGATTCGGTATCTGCGAGTGTCTGTCATTGATAACCAAATGGAGGTTTATTTCCCAATTGCCCTCGTATTTGGACTGTATTTATCTAAAGGCAGGGCCCTAAGCTATTGGTGACATGAAGAGCGGCAAAGGTTATTAATGATTACTTTTTTTAAAAAAAGGTAAACATTTGGCAACCTTCAGTAACTGGGGCTACAGAGAACACACATACCAGAAGCTCTTGAGACAATCACTTTAGTTACTTTAGTTCTCTCCTAGGAGGCTGGGCCATTAGATGAATGGCTATGGGAAAGCAGCAGAAGGGAAGAGTTTGTTTCCTGTTTGGCAAATCCAAAAGCTCCAGCCAAAGGAAAGAAACAAGAAGTTGCATGAGCAATACCTAGAGTAAGAGTGAGTAAATATATTTGCAGGAACATTTGTTTGCCCATATTATGCCTTACATGTGTATATTTATATGTGGGTTATCGACTCAACATAGCCATTTCCTGAATATATGCAGGCACACAGGAATGGCCTTTCCCAAAATTTTCCTGTAATAACTCCTGTTATTTTTCCTGTAATAACTCCTGTTAGTTGATATTTTCTGAATAAGCAATTCTAAAAACAAGAAAAAAAAATGCACCTAATTAATCAGCAGTGCAAATATTTATAAACTTAAAAAATAAATAAATCTCAGGCTTCTGCACCAGCTGCAGTTGAAAGCATCACCTTTTTTTTTTTTGCAAGACTAGGAATAACAGTACATTCTCTGAATTCCTATTTGTACGGCTTTATCTAGTTTCATGAGATAAAAAACTAATGCAAAAGCTCAAGATGGAAGTGGAAATTACTCTGTTTAAAGTGGTGTGTCACATCAGTGATGAGAAAATCAGCAAAGCATAACAAGTCACTGTAGAACCAAACTAAAAATGTTAATTATTGATGTATTCCAAAGACTACAGAATAAAATCTGTCTGGGATTAGAAGGTATTTACTGTTTATTAAAAGACAGGTAAAGAGGAAGCCCAGTGAACTTCTAATATGGCCAATGACCATTTAAAAAAATTCAAAAAACTAGTTACATACCAAAGGTGCTTTTTCAAAAGGCAACTGGACTTTGTTTTTTCTTGAGGATGTTTCGCTTCTCATCCAAGAAGCTTCTTCAGTTCTGACTCAGAAAAACAAAGGAGATTTTTCAAGGAAAAACAAAGTCCAGTTGCCTTTTGAAAAAGCACCTTTGGGACAACCATGATCTGAATGAATGAGAATCTCCATAGTTACATACCAGTTCATTCCAGATTAACATCAATATGATTTTATTGGAATGACTGTATGTCAAGTTGTTGTCAAATCTTAGAGCCCACATAAATTTTCTCCATGAATGATTTTATTAGAGAACCAAATCTCCGTGCAAAAAAATTGATGTCATATGTTATGAAGAAACCATTCTATTGTGTAATGATAAAATCCAGACATCATTTCCCAAGTGCCTCCTGAAATTAAACAAAGTGGGTATTTGTTTGATAAATCCATAAGCTGATTTCCTTCGGCCTCAGTCCTTATGGAAAAAACAAGGATTTTTATAACATTTTGGACAAAGGAAGTGGTGAATGTTTAATTACCTAGACTGTGGGAAATTCCTCTTTACTTCAGTAGAGCAGGCATTAACTAATACTGCTAAATAATGTCATCCTGTGTACTAATATTTATCTGATTGGCATTCCTTTCCTCTAAGCAATTGTTAAATGCTCCTAAATTATTCTTACAAAACCATACAAATCTTTGGGTGGTGAGAAATAAGCCTTTTCCAGTAAGAAGAAAATTCATATTATTGATTTACAACCTAATTAATAATTAACACAGTTGCTGATGATTTTACCCTGCTTATAGTTTTATAGCTTTCAATTTAAGATATTTTTGTATTAAACTTTATTCATTCAATCACTCTGGGAATACAATTAGTGATTATAGTTATCACTATAGTGAATAGTTATAATTATTAATAAATACATACTG